GCCAACTCTACTACTTCACTAAGTCACTACACCCCAAGATCTGTTTTTGTTTAAATAAAGACATTTATTTATTTTTAATTATTTTTTGTTTTTTGTCAAAGACAAAAAAATTCAGATTTAAAAAATTAAATTAAATTTTGATTCCTATTCTTTAGAAAGAATTATTTTCATTCAAACAAAGATATTTATTTATTTCTAATTATTTTTTGTTTCTTGTTAAAGACAAAAATTCAAATTTTGATCTCTATTTTTTGGCAAGATTTATTTTCATTCAAATAAAAATATTTATTTATTTCTAATTATTTTTTGTTTATTGTTAAAGACAAAAAATCCAGGTTTAAAAAATTGAATTAAATTTCAATTCCTTTTCTTTCAAGATCCATTTTTATTCAAACAAAGATATTTATTTATTTTTAATTATTTTTTGTTTTTTGTTAAAGACAAAAAATTTGAATTTAAAAAATTGAATTAAATTTCAATTATTATTCTTTGCAAGATTTATTTTTGTTTAAACGAAGATATTTATTTATTTCTAATTATTTTTTGTAAACAAAAAATTTGGAATTAAAAAATTGAATTAAATTTTAATTCCTATTTTTTGCAAGATTCATTTTTGTTCAAACAAAGGTATTTATTTATTTTTAATTACTTTTGTTTCTTATTGAAGACAAAAAAATTTGGGTTTAAAAAATTAAATTAAATTTCAATTCCTATTTTTTGGCAAGATCCAATTTCATTCAAATAAAGGTATTTATTTATTTTTGCTTATTTTTATTTTTTGTTGAAGACAAAAAACTCAGATTTAAAAAATTGAATTAAATTTCAATTTCTATTCTTTGGCAAAATCTATTTTTGTTGTATAAAGCTCAGAGATTAATAAAAACTACTGGGAACTTGTTTGGAAAGTCCCGAATTGGGAGTAGCAGTGATCTTCGATAGTTTTACAGGAAGGCTGAATCTGAACTGGGGCCTGAGATTGGAGAACCCGGCAAACAGGTCCTTAAGTGGGGGGACACACCAACCAAACCACCGGTTGACATACCGGAGGAAAAGGTCATATGCTCCAAAAATATGAACCAAAGAGAGAACGTCCTTTAGGCACTTAAAGCCTGGGCAAACCAACCTGTCCGGGTTGCCGGTTGGAAGTTAGGGATGGACTAATAAAGAAACTGGGTAAAGAAACAGCTGGAATGTGTAGACTGGGGTTATTGTGAACCTTGTAAAGGCAAAAAGTACACAATAGATGACTAATTAGGAAGGTTGTGCTTGAGATATGAATTGTGTTATGGCAGCACCCCAAAAGGTGGCTTGAGATATGAATACAATAGTGGCAAACAATATGTACTAATTGAGAAGAAATTGCCGAACATGCAAGTGAATACATATGTGGGATATGTACCACTCTGTTGGGTTTACTACAAGGATAAATGCCTTCTGTTGTTGGCTAAAGTCTTAGGGTCTTTCATGGTAAATTACTATTCCCGAAAGGGGTATATTAGGAAAAAATATGTGATATCAGTTAAAGCCAGAGAGTTTAAATAGATAGCTTCCTAGTTAGGCTATAGGTATGATATCTAGTGTAAAACCCTTAGCATACCGTATGTTTCCGAAAATAAACTACCTCCTCTTTTCTTGAAGAAGAAACATAAAAAAAATTTTTATTCCGAAAATAAGCTACTCCGATAATTTTTTAAAATCCAAAAGTAGTTTATATATATATAAGTCAAAATTCTACTAAGTAAATCGATGAAAGTCACTAATTGGGGTTGTTCAGGACATAAAAATACACATATCCTGAAAGTTTGAAGCAAATCGAAGAACTTTTTATTAAGATATTTTTGCATTTTACATTCAAACGTAAAATTCAAAAACATCTTAGTAACAAGTTCTCTGATTTGCTTTAAACTTTCAGAATAAGTGTATTTTTACGTCCTGAACAACTCTTATTAAGTGACTTTCATCGATTTACTTAGTAGAATTTTGACTTTTATATATGGAAACTACTTTCAGATTTTAAAAAAATAATAAAAATCAATCTTTTCAAAATTTTACCTGAAAATAAGCTACCCCTGGGATTTTTGTGTAACTTTTTGACCAAAAAAGGGTAGCTTATTTTCAGAAACCTACAGTAGGCAAAGCCCAACTTCATCAACAAAACTACTCAACTGTTAACAAAAAACATAGAGGATATAACAAAATTTTAGTTTTTCTAAGCTACACTCTTTTTTTAGATAAGTGGTTTTCCTCTTTACTCACTCTCGCTTCCCTGTCAGTCTTCCAAATTTTTTTTCGAAAAAGTGAAGGATTTGGCTTACTCTCTCCAAAAGATCAACGTTGTTTACTTTCCAAATTTGAACAACCTAATGAATTACAACTACATGTTTTACAGATTCGGCGCATTAGGATTGGGCCCCAAGTATGGAACTCCTAATAACGGCAGCAGGTTGTTTGAGATACGGGTCTACGGATAGTGGCAGCACCTGGCTCGAAATACAAATTAAGACAAGTATGACATAGTTATTTGGAGTTGATCAGAAGATCAAAAAGAAGAATCGAATGTTAAAGCAAAGCTTTACAACAGGGATATACAAATACTGCATTTGTTATATAATTTTTATACTCACCTGACACAGGTTATAATAGTGTATTTTCTTTTTCTTTTTCTTTCTTTAGGTGTATCTATCAGAACTATCCTATTCTCTTTTTTTTGCTTTTTTCATCTTTTTTCTATTATGTTAGAATACTGTTTAGAATTTTTTTTTGGTTGTCTTTTTTTTTCTTTTTTTTTCTGTTTTTTTCTTTCTTTTTCTAGATATAGTTTTTTTTCTTTCGTAAATGTGGCATATATTTTTTTCTTTTAAAAAGTAAGAGATTAACTATTCTGCTCGGATCTAGATGAAAAAGTTTTAAAGAAGAAATAGTTAGTCTTGATGGGCCAGTAGAAATCTTCTGGTAAAGTTTTATTTTCTTCAAGTACAGAAGTAAATATTACGGAGGAGAATTCTGCTTATAGCAGATTGCATATGAGTAATTTGAACTTCAGTCACAAAGAGCTTGGTAAGTTAATACTTGCAATTTAGACATTGTAAAAACTTGCCTTTAGAGACTTGTTTTCGAAAATTTGTAATATTTCTCAGTATAATATTTTCAAGTCTAATAAAATAGAAACAAAATTGCTGAATTGGTTCAAAAAAAAATTAAAATAAAACTGGAACCTTTCTTGCTTATCTTTAAAGCTTATAAAACTTATCTATACTCTATTATTAATAAAACTAACTCTAAACCCTAATTCTAACCTTAACTCTAGCCCTAAAAAATATCTCCCAAAAAATTTTAAAATTTTTTAAAAAAATAGAAAAATTTTATTTTAATTCAATTTTATTTTAATTTGAAAAATTACTATCAAATCAGTTTTTTTTCTAGAAAGCTCAAGAAATATAAATTTGTAATGAGTCTGTAATAAGCTAGTATAGGACTCTAAACATCTCTAATATAGGTCATATTTGGATTTTGGCCAATTTGGTCTAATTTGCTAAAAACTAGAATTTTGTCTTTTCTTAAATATCTCTGAATTCAGTGATTAGAATTGAATGAATTTTTTTTAAAAGAAGCATCTCACTAAGAGCTTTCATTTAAAAAAAGGTTTATCCAAATTGGACTACTAGCTGCTGAGATATTTACAAATATGTGATTTTTTGCTCCCCAAATTTATATAGGTTTTGCTGAAAAGTTCATATATGACCTATATCCTAGATGTCTGGGGTCCTGCTAGTATTAAGTTGGTAATAATTTGATAATAAGTATATAATAAGTTTTGACTATCAAGTATACTTTTTATACCTATATATGGGGGCCCTACAGCAAAAAATGGCGATATGTCTAACCAATCAAATTTGAGATTTTATAATAGTTATTTTTTTAAAGATCTAAACTTTTATAAAAGTAATTTTTTTTTATTATAATAGGTTAGTAAAAAAATATACAAATTTAGATTTTTATTTTGTATATATTTTGTTAAAAAATCAATATACATATATATGTCTATATACGTATATACATTCTTATTATTCTTATACATGATTTACCATTACACTATTTTGACATCTGATATTGCACATACCATAGTTATATTTCTAGTAGCAGAATAGCTGGGCTACTTATGGTTGTAAATTCTTGTGCAAACCTGTTAAATGCATAGTATAAGTATTATTATACAGATAGCGAAAGCTGATACCGATACTGTATATAACATGCATATATACCTAATATAGCAATAATGAAATAATTTTTTTACACCTTGCTTTTAGTTTTAACAATAAGAATGGAATATAATTTATGTTTTAGCAATCAAAAAACAAATGAAGTCATTTTGACTGCATTAAAAGATTTGGAAAATATGTTTTTTATCGAGCATTTAGATTCTAAAGAGAGTTCCAAATTAGATAATAACAGTAATAAAGAAATTCTTGATATTGATAATGATATAAACTTAGATATGTTAAATAAATTTGAATTTGTAGAAGTTTCTAAAAACTATATTGAAGATAAAGTGTATAATGATCTGAAAGTTACAATTAAAAAATTTTTTGAAAAAAAAATATTCATGTAATTCTGAACTAACCTGCTTTAATCAAATCGGTTATGAACGTTTTCTTGCACGTCATGCTGAATTTGAAAGTTTGGATAAAAATATGCAAGATATGGTTATTAAAGAACAGCTTATAGCTTTTTAAAAAAGTGAAGATAATAAAAAATACTTCTATTTTTATTATTGTTATAATAATAGTATTCAGGTTTGCCGTAAAACATATTTGGCTCTTGTAGAAGTTAGTCATAAATATTCAGAATCTATTATAAAACATTTATGAGAGCATAGTCTCAAAGAATATATACATGAGAATACAGGTAGAGCTCCAAAAAATATGAAGCATGTTGAAGTAAATTATAATATAGTATGTGATATATTTAAGTTTTTAAAAAGCTATTTGGATATATATAGTATGCCCTTACCTGGACAACATTTTAAAGAAATCTTTATACCAATTGTGTTTCTGCCTATCAGTTACAATTATGCTTCAGTATATCATGATTATGTGCAGGCCTTTAAAGATGAGTATGGAGATGATATTTGTATTATTGCTAAATCAACTTTTACTAATGTCTAGAAAGCTTTAATACCATCGCTTCAAGTTATGTCTCTGAAGTCTGATTTGTGTGAAACTTGCAAGACAATGAAAATGGATATTCAATATACAACTCAACATGAAAAAAAATTAGAACTTACTGAGATTTTTTTGGCACATTTAAGTCATGCGCAAAAGGAATGTGATTACTATAATAATAATATTGTAAAGGCAGTTGAAGATGGTAAATGCAATGAAATCACAGTTGAATCTCAAGTGCCATTCAAAACATTTGAAGGAATTGCTCATATTGCATATGATTGGGCCCAAAATGTAAAAATATCTTATTCGCTACAGCAAGTAGAAGTATTATATTTCAAAAGTCCTCGGAAAGTATATTTAATCAGTTTTGTAATACAGATTACCTTCCTAATGCTCAACAAACAAATTATATAATTGATGAAGCTGAAATGTCTGATGATAGTAGGCAGAAAAAAGGTGTGAATTGCACTCTAAGCTTGGTTTGGCATGCAATTTATAAGTATAATTGTAGAAAAAAAAAATGGTTATTATATGTGATAACTGTCAGTTAAAAAAAAAAAAATTATTCACTATTTTTTTATTCATGGTTAATTGACTATGGTATATATAATGAAATTAAATTAAACTTTATGATACCTGGACATACCAAATTCATCTGCAATGGCTGTTTTGGTTTAATTAAAATTTTTTACCAAAAAAGTAAAGTGAATATTGTAGTACGAAGTGTATGCAACTATCTGTGTACAAATTCTTGAATCCTATTGGGTGGTGTATTCAAATTGTTTATTGGACATCGTGTATATGATCATGTTTGTTTAATGCCATATGAAAGCGATTCATTTTTATAAAATTGTGGCTGTATACTTATTCTAAATTCTGGTACGTATGAGCATCTATATCTGTTATACCTTACTACCTTTGGTAATCAATTCAAGAATAAAAAATATATAGTATTATTTGCACTTCATAGATTTTACATAGATTTAGATCTGCTTATCTGTTATGCATGATCCCTGCTGTTGAACAGGTTTGTTTATTAAAAAAAAATGTAATGTACGTATGTACGTATGTTATTGAAATATCGAAAAGCATTGCATGCATGTTTCTTATAATTGGAATGGTCCGGTCTAATATACTGGAGTTGAATTTTATTTGATGGATGCAGATTACATTAGTTGCAAATTATGTGTTATTTAAATGTTGAAACTGAAACGGGATTGCTCCCGGAAATAGCAAATAACATTGCGCCAGGAGATCACTATAAGCAGTTGAGTTTGTGCGGCTTAGCACTGGCCGGTGGTTTTCCGCCTGCATAACGCAGGCTGGCCGTTAATATGAACATGTAATATTATATTGATATTCAGTAGTATGTTCATTTAGCTGTGATTTGTGTGCTATTGAAACTGAAACGGGATATGCTCCCGGAAATAGCAATAATATTGCACTGGGAGATAACAATAAGCAGTTGTTTATGCGATTTAGCGCTGGCTGGTAGTTTTCGCCTGCAGGTCGGCCATTAGTATGAACATATGATATTGATATTTCTAGTTATATAGCAGTTTGTGCGGCTTAGCGCTGGCCTGCCTGCATAATGCAGGTGGCTGTCAGTACAAACACGTGATATTGATATTATAAGAATGGCCGGATTCTTTTGGGAGAGAGGGTGGGTTGGGTCGCGAATTGTGTTCTGTCGCAGTTGAGTGATCAATCGTTGGCACAAGGCCCAACTTTATTCTCATTGCCGCCTTTATCAAGTTAGTAATTACTGTTTAAGAAAGTCATACAAATCATACCCACTGCCTTTGATTATCTGGACCGGACTTGTTCTGGTTGATGGTTCCACAATGCGCATCACTATGCTTAGCATATTTTCGATCTGTTGACTTTACGTCAACTTGAATGAAACTGATATGAGGTATGCTCCTAGAAATAATAGTTGAGTTTGAGCACTTTAGCGCTTGTCGGTAGTTTCCCACCGAGTGAAATAGTGATGGCGCAAAAATTTGGCAGTCCTGTAATTTTTATTTAAACTGATTGTAAGATTAGTATGTAACATACAAATGCGAAGTAAAAAAAATGAATACAAAAAAAAAAAACAGAAATCGCAAAAAAACTCATAAATTCACAAGGGAAATTGGTATTGTTATTATGTAAAAGTTTTCAGCACATAAATTTATAAATATTCTTTCTACTTTGTAATAATGCAAACATTAATATTTAGACGAAAATTTGGATATCATTGTTATTGAATTAGTCACGGGACTGTCAATTTTTGCGCCATCACTATTTCACACTTTCCCGCTTGCGTAATGCAGGCTGGCTGTTACAGCTGTTCTCATAGATTTTGGGACATCTGGTAAAAGATTGACCAAATGATTATTTGGCTAATTTAATAGATTTTTGATTCAGCATTGATTTGTGATTGTGATAATGATATATTTTTTTTTACAAATTATTCTGAAATATCAACACACCAAAATTAAGATTTCTCTTGAATGCATGTTTGTTCTTGCCAACCAACAAATCTTGACAAAAACATAAAAGGGTTCTGAATATAAGATAAGCTTTCATAATAAATATATTACTAAAAGAGATGCTAATAAAAAAGTTTTGATATGAACAAGAATTTATTAATTGTACTAATTCAAATTATAATTCCAAATGATTAAGTTTTTGTCGAAACTGCTTTGAAAATTATAACCAATAAAATCATAATAAAATCTATAAAAGTATTTTATTTATTTATTTAATATAAATTAATTTTTAAATATAA